TATATATATATATATATATATATATACACACACACTATTATAATACCATGTATATACTTATTCCATGTATATATTTAATTATCTACTATTATTCCATTAAAACACAATATATACATACAATGGCCGAAGGATAACAACAACATACTCAGTATTATCCCACATCGTGGGGATACTCTGCATATTAATATACTAAAAAAACCATTGTAATTTATAAACTATTTAATACCATCATTATATTGTGTAAAAAATTATCTTGACATACAATTAAAAATATAACTTTATACCAATAGTATATATGAGTATAATTTTACCGTTTAATTCGATATTGTTTGAAAAAAAAATTGTGCGGTCGTATTATTCTGCAACAAGTAAGATACATTAAAAAAATTCGAAAATAAATGTAAAATATGTTTTCAAAATGCAATAGAGTCCAATAATCTCATATATGCACATAGAAATAGAAAATGCATTAATCTCTTCATTATTGTTTGGCAGTAATTTAGGAAGTGTATTCACTTAAGGAGAATCGGAACCGCTTTGGAAAGTTTTAGGAATTGAATGCTTTGGATTTTTTTAAAACTTTCTAGATCCATATTTATAGCTTGTTGCTAAGAATAATTATTTAGCTGCATGTTTTGTAAAATACCTATTGTTGCTAGGTATCTGAAATTTTTTCTTAAATATTACTTATGTTTTTCCTCCAAAATTTATTGCACCATGTATTCCACATGTTTTGAATTCTATTGCAAACATCTCCCCATACATAATTTCTATCAAAGTAGATAAAAGTGCACATTTAGCCACTAATTAGAGATGTCTTTACTCTTTAGTCACTGTTTAAAATATATTACTCTTTAGCTAGTGCTTAATAATATTTTACCCGTCCGGATGAAAATACCCCTGTGCTAGATATGGGTAGTGTGTAAATATTAAGGAGAAAATGTCCTGTATTTGCACCTTCCGTTGTCAAACTTTAGGATATCATATCCTTAATTTCATATGTGCAGTGTAATTGTTAAGGACATAACGTCTTTAACTTCATGTGTACAGTGTAAATGTTAAGGACATAATGTCCTTAACTTGTATTTGCACCTTCTGTTGTTAAACTTTAGGACCTCACGTCCTTAACTTCATATGTGCAGTGTAAATATTAAGGACATGGTGTCCTTAACTTCATGTGTACAGTGTAAATATTAAGGACTTAGTGTCCTTAACTTTATGAGTGTTGTATAAATATTAAGGACATGATGTCCTTAACTTCATGAATGCTGTGTAAATATTAAAGACAAAGTGTCCTATATTTGCACCTTCCGTTGTTATACTTTAGGACATCATGTCTTTAACTTCATATGTGTAGTGTAAATATTAAGGACATGGCGCCATTAACTTTATGTGTGCAGTATAAATGTTAAGGATACCATGTCTTTAATATTTACAAAGCACTCATGCAGAAAGGGTAAAAACGTCTTTTCGTATTAATTTTAATAGAGTAATGACTATTTTTGCTCAACATTAAAAATCGTGGATAAAAACTAAATACCATGTTAAAAAGTGGCTATCCCACGCCATTTCTACACAAATTGATAACGTTATTTAAAACTTTTGATCTATTATCGAAATTCCCTTTCTTTAAATTTTATTATTACATATTTGGTATATTAGAATATCCTTACTTTTGATTTAACATAATGTATGTAATACGTAAAGTATCTTGGAAAATAATTAGTTGTTATTTTTTGCAGTAAAGAATATTAAAAACAAGAAAAATAAAGAATGTTAAATATTTTTAAAACTACAACAAATGAAATAGAGAGGAGGTAGCTATAATATCCCCTATATTATTTCACATTAATATAATGCTGAACTTTCCTTTTTACCTTCTTTCTTCACATCAAAACTGGAAGTTCAAAAATCTACTTTTGTTCAAAAGTACTAGTAAGTGAAAAAAAATTAGAGGCATTTTATTTCTAAACGTTGCCATAATTTACTATTTCAGAGCACACACGGATATTTATGATTTGTGAAAACATTGTAGTTTTAGACTTGTCCATTAGACACACAAGCGGATTCAAAATTTTAAGTTTGTGAATTTTGAATTTTACAAAAGGTAACTTACTGGGCTCTAGATAAATTATACATACATATTAACTAAATTTATTTTACATAAATATAAAATTTTAGCCAAAACTATTAAATTCTATCGAACTAGTAATTAAAGCACTAACTCCGCCCATATTAGACGTGGGATGGCCGCAATGTGTTGAAACCGAAAAGAAGAACAGAAAGTAAAGGATTCTTATATGAGACACTAAAGTTTAAATTGTCATGAATGACGAAGTAAATAACTATTTTCATGATCAAATCATTTATAAGGCAATTACAAATAATTCTTTTTTGATGAAGACTAATTAACAACCTAGTAAAAAAACAAGTAATTTGCTATTACATGTTAAATTACTCTAATAGTATAAAGCATTATACTGTTAGTACTATATATCTCTTAAATCCTTATAAACTTTTATTAGGAGGTCCCAATCACTTTTAAATATGATATAAAGATGCTCTTGAGCAAGTACTTTTTATAATTCATCATAAATCTGGAACATATCATTTCTTGAGCTTTCACTTTCTGACTCAATAAGTGAATTCCTCAGAGAGATGCTAAAGAAATAACACATACTGCAGCTGGACATATGAATTTTTTTATTCCAAATTTTGTTCAATTTAGTGAACTTTTTAATTGAGGAGGAGCCAAATCACTTAGCAAGAAAGCTTAAAGCATGGTAGCATCTCACTTAGTATCTAAAATGACAAATCAAAGGGATAATAATAACTAGTCCTTATACTATGAATATTGATCATAGAGGCAATGAAATTAAAAAAATGGACATAAGAATGTCTCAAGCTAAAGAGAGATGAATGAAGTTAACTCGCAAAAATTGAAGCATATTCATGGAACATGCCAGAAGTAGCATTGGTGTAAGGTTCTTACAACTGAGAAAAAACTCTAGTAGCAGCGCGTTGTCTATACAACTTAGCATTGCTTCTGTTCTGTCTATTTGAAAATGAGCTTACCAGCAAACATTGCGGATCTGTTTATTACCAAGAAGACACAAAGGCAGGCTCACCGTTCACGTCCTCAACTGGCGCAGGAAGATTAAGATCAAGTAAATCAACAACTTCTCTTTTGAATGCTGAAGCTTGATACTGAGAACCAGTTATGAAATGTGACCTTTTGTGTCCACCTAAAGCTTGTCCGGACTTAAACATCCTGTTGCAGAATGGGCATTCATGTCCTTTGAATTTCTTAGCCTTCATCTTTTTCTCAGGATTATAAGAGAGATCTCGAGCATGAGCAACTGGTTTCTTGTTGCTAAATGTCTCCCTATCAGCATCACGGTTATTTTCATTCGTTTCATATTTCGATTCAATATAGGCATTCGTCTTTTTAGTGCAAGGTCTGTGTCCACCAAGAGCTTGGTAAGAGCTAAAAGTCTTCTTGCAGTTGAAACATTCATACTTTTTCTTCTTCTGAGTATGTTTGATTCCTTCTGCACCTTTCAAACCAAGATTTATCTTCTTATTATTAAAGGACTCATTTCCTAATTCTGAGTGATAAGAACTATCCTTATTTCTCTTTCTTGATTCACACTTAACCAAATTTGAAGTCATGCCATAGCTATCATATTTATAGTCCTTGCTTGAAGCATTCCTTAATTCTGTTATACACTTTTTCATTCTGTTCAAGTCCTTTCCCTCATCAATTCTAGACTCATCACACCAAACTCCGTGGCTCTTGTTAGACGTATTACGTTGGTAATTATGCTTTCTATGGAACTCATCAACAGAGGCATCTGATTCGACATTCATATAATCGTCTAAAAAGTATCCGGAATCAGAGTTCTCAGATTGAACTTCAGCACTCAAAACATTAAGTGTTAAGTTCCTGTCCGCCTTTTTCTTGCTTCGAGGTGTTCCATCTACATTGTCAGCACATTTTAGACTATCCTTTCTAGAAATTCTCATGTCGACAGATGATGATTTCGACTCAAAAACAACAGAATTGTTGTCAGAAGACTCAACAACTGAATTGATGACACCATTCCATTTCCCAGAATCCATTGACAACATCATCAAACACTTTGCTACTTCCTCTTGATCTTGCTCATCAATCTCAGAAACAGATGAGGAAAAACTTCTATTGTTAACCAAGCAAAAAGAAGAAGACTTAGACTTATTGTACCTTTTAATTTTTGATCTGCTCCTCAGCATTATTGGCTCT